CGGTGCTGCCCCCCTCCCCCACCCCCTCCCCCGGCGAGCTTGCTGGAGGGCATGATGGGTTTATTATATAATGCCTAAATGTTGCGGTTTTTACTGTCATCATCATCATCATCATCACTATCACCATCATCACCATCATCATCATCATCGTCATCATCATCATTGTTATCATCAGAATCGCTCGCATCATCAAAAGTAGCTAGTAAACGGTGTTATCACTATCAGCACTGACCTGGGCGATAGTACATGACAGGTTAATAAATAAATAATCATATATGTATATATATACATATATATATGTGTGTGTGTGTGTGTGTGTGTGTGTGTGTGTGTGTGTGTGTGTGTGTGTGCGCTCGCGTGTGTGTGTGTGTGTATGTGTGTGTGTGTGTGTGTGTGTGTGTGTGTGTGTGTGTGTGTGTGCGTGTGTGCCGTGTCACAGATGATTTTGTCTTCTTAATCCCAGTCAAGATGGCATCAAATAGGCATGCGTTTTGTCGTTCCCGCCGCACCACCTAGCGAATGCCTTCCACGACTGCCGCGGCCATCCGTCTGATTTACTTCGTCAGAAAAGTCCCGGGCCCTTATTCGTATGCTCGCCGTCCCCCGCGACCTGCTTTGCCATGCCTTGCATTAATGTCATTGCCTTTATGCCCCCGATATAACCCTTTTCTAAGGTCTTTGGTCCCCCTCCTCTTCACTTTTCTTCATCTACCCCTTTCTAGCCATCTCTCTTCTCTTCATTCTCTCTCCCTACTTCTTCCCTTCCACTCTTCATCCTCCTTCTCATCCACGGTCTTGTTCCCCTGTCATTCCTATGCCAGGCTCATTCGCAAGTTCCTTGTTGGTAAAATTCCGAGTCATGCTCACACACGAATTAAGTTCACGATCCGGAGGTCTTTCGTGAGTCTCCGTGTGTTGTCCTGATCCGCGGGAGGGGGGGAGGGGGGGACGAGAGGAGGAGAGGGTTGCCGGATGTCGTGAGAAGGAAATTTCCACCGCCTTTTCGGCCTCGCGTGTGGATGCTCCTGCGGATCACCTTCATATGGCTAGCTTTCCTGCTTTCGACGACAGAGGCCCGCTTGCAAGAGCAGAGATAATCCGCTCGGCGTGCGCGGAGGAAGAGGGAAAAAATTGCGTTTAGCGATGGCTCAACAGGTGCTGAAGTTAGCCTACCTGTTGTGCCTACCTGGGCGGGCGGGAGGTGTCTGGGCCACTCACTCTGTCAGTTGCTCGCTGGCTGCCGTGGTGAGTGTACCCTCGCTCCGCCACTCTCGCCGGCTCGCGCCCCTGGAAACAAACCTTCGTGTGCGCTTGTGGAGGGTTGAGCGGCATGAACGAGCGCGTGACGGCCGAGGAAGGTTGTGCTTCGTCCGTGCTCTGACCGTCGCCTGAAAAGAAAATGTTGAAGTATTTTGTGCGCGAAGGAGACTTTGTGGATGTCAGAACATTCTCAGTGATGTGATGGTCATATCACATAACTACGAGATAACTGGACTTGACGTGAACCCTCTACTTGGCCTCAAAAGATAAAAGGACGATTGATAAGATAAACATCTTTGGAAAAAAATCGGATAAACGTACCTTTGAGGCTGGTGTTTAGCGGGGAGCGTCCGGGCCGTGCAGGGGGCAGACAAGGTCATGTTGAGCCTCCTGGGCGCGATCTCCTCCACAACACTCACACTCCACCTCGGGACAGCTCCGCCCTCCAGGCCGCGCCGTATCCTCCCGCGGGACGACGGCAGTGAAATGAAAAGTTAGACTGTGATCCGGTAAGCAAGGTGAATCGACCTACATAGTGCCAGCCTCTTTCTGCGGCCGTGACCCGCGTGTACTTGACCCAGAGCAGCAGTTGCCATTCAGTGTCGCCGATGTGCCATGAGTTCAGCACACGCAAGAACTCTGCCATTATTGCGAAGAAACGTGTGCTTTGCGTGAACCAGGGAGAACTGTCACGCACGGGGTTCGTGCTTGTGTTCTAGCCTTGGAGTATATCGCACATTGACCCAAGTGAACGATTTTTTTTATCTCACTCATAATAAGAACTTATCAACGACGATTTCGTGATATCAGATATTTATCAGTTGCCGGGCAGTGTCCGTGAGGATTGCCAGCTTACTCCGCCATTTATTGTCGAAGTCGTAACGCGTTGCAGTCCGCATGACGAAAGTCGTTACCTCGGGCGGCCGAGGTGGCATGTACGTGCTGGGCCCTGGCGGCGTCACTCTCACCCTCTCCGCCATGGACGACGAGAGCTGCTCCGAGGTGTCCAGCTCCTCGACGCTCACCACCCCCGGAGCCGTGTCCCCCCAGGCCTTCGTCAGCGTGGGCGTGGAGATGAGTCCGCCGATGACACTGGCACTCACTGACATCGGGGAGGTTGACCTTAACTTTTGGGACCTTGACCTTAACTCCCACAGTCCGCCGCACAGCGCTGTCGCCTCAACAACGTCCATGCTGAGCCAACGCAGCGTCGCGACGCCCTCTGAATCCTCGCTCTCAG